CAGCGGGAACCGGGCCCAGGTCTTCACATGGACCCTCTGGTCTCAGAAGGAGACGGGTCCAGGTCTTCACATGGACCCTCTGGTCTCAGAAGGAGACGGGTCCAGGTCTTCGGGTCCAGGTCTTCACATGGACCCTCTGGTCTCAGAAGGAGACGGGTCCAGGTCTTCGGGTCCAGGTCTTCACATGGACCCTCTGGTCTCAGCGGGAGTCGGGTCCAGGTCTTCACATGGACCCTCTGGTCTCAGGAGGAGAAGGGTCCAGGTCTTCGGGTCCAGGTCTTCAGACAGAACGTTGGTCTATTTAACCTACTGGGAGGCTTTGCTTTCAGAGCAGCTGGTCTCGTTTCAGAACCATCTGACCCGGTTCTGCTGGAGCTGGATCCACCAAACCAGCATGAATCCCGATCAGTTTTATACGGCGGTGGACGAGCTTCCATCAGGGAACCGGTTCAGACCGGATCAGAACTTTAATCCTGGAAACGGACCTCACAGAGATAGAAGGTTTGGGTCAGTCTCAACTTTAGACCAAAGTTTGAACCTGAACTTTCCCTTAAATACAGGATTTAAAACATTTTGATGAGAAAAGCTTAATTCAGAGGTTTATAATAAAAATGGTAATACAATAAAAATAAAAATGATTTTATTTTTATTTAACTTTACATCAGTTTACCAAATTTAAATTACCTGTAGGAAAAAAACGCAAAATAGAATGACATTAAAAACTCAGACGGTGGAATTATTGAAAAATCGTTTATTACAAAAAGAAATCTGCAGTATTAGAACTTTATAGGAGCACTAAAAAATAAACTCAGTTTATTCGGTAATAGAAAATATTAAGCTCAGGTTATTTCCTGCCTTAATATCAAAGTGAATATTTAATTTTCAATAAATAATTCAGGGATTATCAAAAGAAATGTTCAGAGTGTGAAAGTGGATGAGTCCCATCAACATGATGATGGACCTCGCTGTAAAGGAGGGACCTTCAGAACCAATCTATCTTCATACATCTAACCCTGATGTGACCTTCTAAGCTTCACCGACTGGATCAGAACCATCCTGATCCAGAACCTCTGACTCTGGTTCTGGTCCTGCATCAGAGTTCCTGCTCCGTGGTGACGTCCTCCAGCTCTGCGGGCTGCCCGGTCTCCATGGAGACATCAGGTTGGTGTCCTGTGGGCGGAGCCAGCAGAGGTCAGGGTTCAGTCTGTCAGTGAGTCATGAGAAGGTGGGCTGGAGATCTACCTGAGTTCCTGCTGCAGCACATCAGCAGCAGCAGGACACTGCAGACGCAGTACGGACAGATGACCAGCAGGTGGCAGAGGAGACGCAGGACTGAAGCACAGGAGAGAGGAGGAGGAGGAGGAGGAGAAGCAGAAGAAGAGGAAGGAGGAGGAGGAGGAGGAGGAGAACCTGCTGGACCCGGTTTAACCGAGACCAGAGGAGGCGCTGTGATGATGCGAGGAAGAGGAGGATCTGAGGAGATGAAGGAGGCTGCGTCACTCTCCCAGCACTTTATCATAGTAAACAGGAAGTGATGTCACTGCGCTCACCTCTGACCCTCAGGAAGCTGTGAGGAGATCTTCCAAACCTGTCAGTAGAACACCAGTAGGAGCCTTCATCCGCCTGCTGGACCTCCCTGAGGACGTGTTCTGCTCCAGATCCCAGGCGACGGCTGTCAATGAAGAAGAATGCTGAGGTGATGTCACCGCTTCGCCGTCTGCAGCGCAGAGTGACATCACTTCCTGCTTTGACAGGAAGAGCAGGGATCTCCAGGATGAGACCTTTATCTGGGAGAAGAAGAGAATCAGAGATCAGTTTTCTGAGGGGAAAGTTTTAGCAGGTCTACAGTTCTGCAGAACCGGGTCCTCTGAAGGATCCCATCGTGGACCACAGAGAACTTCTCTGAGGTCTCCACGGCTCTGACACAGAGCAGAGACACTGAGACATGCTGTCCCTCTGAGGACAGGTCCTCACCTAACACAATGATGCTGACATTATAGCTCCTGGTTCCAGAAGATGTTTCACACCAGAAAGATCCACCAGGATCCACAGAAAGGTCCAGAACACAGGAGGGACCAGAACCAGCGTCTCCACCGACCTCAGTGGATCCTTCTGTGGTCCTCTTCACCGTCCATCCTTCAGCTGTCCGTCCATCTTCAGAGCATCTCAGAGACACTGAAGAATCTCCAGAGAAGAACTGCTGAAGGTTTGGACTGATGTCCAGAGACACTGAGGACAGATGGACAGAGCTCATGTTTAGACTGGATCTCAGGGCTCTAGTGGTAGAACGTCCATGAACTCACCTGGAGAATCAGCAGAGAGTCCAGACATCAGCAGCACAGAGACACCTGGAGACATCATGGAGACAGAGAAGAAGGAGCTGCTGAGACACACCGTCTGATAAATCCTAAAACGTCCCTCATGCCGGATGTTTTCCCTCGAGCTTTAAAAATCTTTTATCTTTGGATAAATAAATCCTGCTGAACTACAGGCCCATCTCTAATCTCCCCTTCATCAGTAGGATTATTGGAAAAGTTGTGATTTAACAGTTAAATGCCTTATTAAGCTACTATGGAGTTAGTTTGTTTATTGTTAATTATGATTTACAGATTGTATGTACTTCTTTATTTTAGTATCTAACATGAATAAAGAGGGTTTCATTTTATTATATAAACTTCTATAAACGTGAAATTTTCCAAATAACATAAAAGATGAATTAGTTTTACCAGTGAGATAAGTGCTGCTCTGTTGCTTTTCATAAAGGATGTGGTTACAGGACATGTGAGGAAGAGCTGAGGGGTTATTTCAGGTTCAATAATGCAGAAGGAACGATTTGGATTTATTTCAAGATATTTAGCTATTTTATCATTTCTAGGATGGATGTTATAAATAATTTTGAAATTAATTTGAGAGATTTTATTGTTATGGGGCATTGATGAGGTAGTGACCATGATTCGCTCCAGTCTGTTCTAGTATAGTCCTCACTAGGGGGTGTCAGTAGCTTCTAATGGTTTAGTCATATTAGCTGTAGCTTCAGCTTTCAATTGCAGTTGCATGAACCGACTGATTTGGTGAACAAATCTTTTGAATATATGATCTAATTCTATTAAAGTAAATGTACTTTATTTGTGTTATTCTCATCATGTCATCTCAGGTCATTTTCCAGACAGTTTCATCAGATCTTCCAGTCATAGACTTT